TTTGGGTGTGGCAGGAAGGGATGGTATGGTTGAGTACACTATGCGCAAAATTGTATAGAGTTAATGCCCCTTGCAATACTGTTAGGTTACTTAAGAGGCAGGTCCTCCGAATTTAAGGCCCATCTTCGACAAAAACAGAGCCTAATGGGAGAATTCGAGGAACTAGCAGGGCTCCTAAGTTATCTACCTTGTGCCAATGGAGTCTTAGAAACACCTACATTACAAACACCAAAAGCACATTTGCTTTTAGTTTTAAATTGTTTGGCACCCTATTAACTTTGAACCTCGTTACTATCACATTTCCATGGTCATGTCTTAGTTACAATAAATTCAGTGTGAAAGGCATAGACGGTACTTATAGTTTTCAACAGGATTTTGCAAGATTTACGTAAAATGATATAGTATAAAATCAGTTCCGTGTAATTTGTAATCTTTGTTTCTTCCCCGTACTCTTCACCTTGAGAGCAGTTCACAGCGTTGATGTAGTTGCAGGATCTGCTGTCGTAGAAGGTTCCAGCGGCACAGGCCACCGGCACAGGTGCTTGGTCAGGGACGCACTCGTAGAAGCGGTCACAGTACTTAGGATCCTCATCCGTGCCCTTTGAGCCAACACAGTTACTGCAGACTGGGGAAAAGCAAGTTATATAATTTCCAGTGAAGCTCTCAAATCATAGATAGATGGATAGATAGCATTTGTATAGCGCAAATTCCCGCTCAACAGCAAGCTCTATGTGCTTCACAATCAATACTATTACCCCAGCAGACCTGAGAGCATTCTGAAACAACGTCAACTTCCTGGGAAGCGTATAGTGCAAGCAGCCATTTATAGTCGCTAAAAAACTAACATACTCACTAACTAAATGATATGACAATAAGTAATTAATGATTCTTTAAGTGTTGAAAGGAAGGCAAAAAATAAGGAGTTAAAATTACTTTAGTTCGTGTGTATATATATATATATATATATATATATATATATATATATATATATATATATATATATATATATATATATATATATATATGTATATACGGAATCTGAAAACTGTAAGCGTATTAGATTACAGAATATTGTTGAGGGAGTTACAATAAGTTTGAATGACAGGAGTATGAAAGTGGCTGTCAAATGACAATAAAATTAAATGTTGATGTCAATTTATTATACTATACTATATTATTTATATATATTTATATATATAGTAGAAAATACATGTAGAATGTAGGTAGATAGATAGATAGATAGATAGATAGAACATCTATCGTCCTTATCTCCCCTTTTTTTGTGTGTGTTTGTTACTCTCTTGTAACACCTCTAATCTTCTGGCGCTCATATGACCTTATGCTGTTGCGAGTCCGGTAAAACCTCTACTAAAACTAAAGATAGATAGATAGATAGATAGATAGATAGATAGATAGATAGATAGATAGATAGATTGATAGATAGATAGATAGACAAATGGTTTATATTTTATAATTTTGCTGGTCTCTTCTACTCCAGGCATATTATTACGTGTCAATGAGAGCCTGGGTGATGTTTCTAAAAGCGTAGGGAGGGTTTATACAGCCTAACAATACCGTTACTGCTTCTACTTCACGGGTCCCCCGTCGCGCTTAGAGTTCTGGATCCGTGGAACGTAGCTATCGAGGTATTGGTGAGAATCATAATCATCATCGTGTGCCTTATCTGCGGCAGACATCGGCAATCATGGTTCTCCTTTCATTACTTGGCTCGGATGTTCTTTTTTTTTTTAAAAGCTACGTTACCCTGATCTTTCCCCCTTAGCGATCTGTATAGGTTCTCAAAGTAGGTTGCTCTGGGCCTGCCCCTGCTTCGTGTACCTTCAATTTTGCCAGTGAGAACTAAATGTTCAAGACCTTTATGTATATTTAGGTGTCCCAAAAACTACGTTTTGTGTCTTCCTGATTATCTTTATCAGTGAATGTCACACTTGCGCTTCATCAAATACTACCTCATTTGATTTCTTTTCCTTCCAAGATCTGTGAAAGAATATGGCTCTACAAAATAAACACTTCAGTATGGACTTCCAGCCTGCCTGTACCCTTGTAAACTTACTGCCAGTTGAAGGTTGAGGAGGTGCTGTAGGCACAAAGGGGCACAGAGTGTCTTCCAGAATCCTGGTCAACGCATTGGGGAGTTGGTTGTAGTTGTTGAGTCTCGTGTTGACATTTCTTCCGCCATTGGCGGCGGTCAGGTCGTTAAAGGCAATAGAGTTTGATCCCTATTGACAGACGGGATAAGTCAAGATCAGCAAAGAGGTCAATTTTAAAGAACAATAAACCCAGAAACCAAGCACAAACAAAATTGTCACATTTGCTTTTTATTTGAAACCTGACACACATTTGAAGAGTACAAGGTGGGAACCAAGAGACGCCAGTGTGGTTGTTTGGTGTTGTTTGTTTTTTTGTCTTTGTAACGTGGGTTGGAAAGTATTTACTCGTCTCTTTTGTCCCATCTAAGTGACTATAGTGCGGTCACAAATTTGTGGCCCAACTTATTGTCGAATATCTCCTCAACTATTGAACATAAACTCTCCAGCTTTTGCACAGTGGCTTGTCTTAACTGATCAATATTTTTGTATACATCTGTTAGCTCTATTCTACCAAATTCCTTAATAAATACCAATAAAATAAACCCAGTGGGTTGTTTACACAGATTTTTAAAGGTTTACAGCAGGGACAATATCCCCTTTAAAAGCAAAAGTTTTTAATCTAGCCTCAATTGTTGTGGAAAAATATGATCAAGTTAAGACAAATTGATACTAACTGCTGTGCAAAGTATGGGTTACATTGATTCACCCGGTAGAAAGATATTGGAAGATAAGTTGCGCCCCGAAATTTCGACCGCGCTATAGGGCTAAAACCTGATGAGTCACCCAGTATCAGGATTGGAAAATAAGCTAAACTATGGAGATGCGTGGACTGTCAAACATTTCACTTAGTTGTTGTTGTTTTTCTTAAAATCCCCAAAAGTGGCATCCCTTGTACAGTTTTCCCCTTGTGGCCTTCATTTCTGACGGTATCTGTATGACAGGAATACTTTTCTTTCTCCAATCTGTTTAATGAGTGGCTTGTTCCTGATCCCATCTCACATTGTTTTTTATTCCTCAGTTTGTCAGCACACCTGTTTTGCTCTCAAGTCAGTATGCATGTTCATCTCTCTCTCTCTCTCTCTCTCTCTCTCTCTCTCTCTCTCTCTCTCTCTCTCTCTCTCTCTCTCTCTCTCTCTCTTTCATCTCAAACTTTCATGATTACCTGAACAGACACCACTTCGACGTTCCAGTTCAAATTTGCTACAGCGTTGTACGCCTGGCGGGTAAGTTGAATACGGTCATTTCTACTGGAGCCCTGAGAGCTCACAAGGATCACAAGATTGTTGACGTTAGGTCGAGGTGAGACAGTCAGAGCTTGCAGCCCTTGGAAGGTGAAAGAACCGCCCTGAGGGGGGAAAAATACAGTCGTTTTTAGTATTTTGTAAATAATGTTTCAGTTCCTTAGACTTGTAGCATAACAGCTTAAGCCGTGCACTCTGTCGTATTTCCGGTTCATTACGGGGCACAGCACTTGAGCCAAATCAAGGGCAAGGAGAAAAACGTGCCCCAGGCACAAGATTATAACGAGACTCGTGTTTTCCTTTTATTTGGGCGTAATGGTGTGCCAGTTGGGGGGGGGGGGTTGGAATCTGTGTGTGATGTATTCTATTACAGAACGGAATAAATCCATTTACTACAAAACTGAAAATGTTTGGATTAAAAAGACTTATTCTCTGAAAACAAAAGTATGAACGAAACGCAATCTTACCATACTAAATATCGAAGGATACAGGTTTTCCCGATAAAACCAAATTTGACGTAAAGTGTTTGTGCAATGCAATCCAACATAATAATAGTACACCCACTTACTTTCGCCCTATACCATCAGGTACAGTACACAGGGCAAAGAGCAATCAACGTTATGTTTGTCTGTTCTAGGCCACTTCTTTGAGTTATGTGATATAATTATTAGATATATTAACTTAATGTCACATCAGAAGATGAATAACACACATTCCTGACATCATAGATTCCTTATTGGATGTTCAACATTTCACCACGAACCGCGTTATTGTTGATTGGGTTTTAACGCTTTATGACACCTTTGACAAATTGTAGGTCATTTAAGAAGCGGGTTGTTTTGGCTCTGCCTGGGTATAGGTTACAGCAACGCTCCAGAAAGAGAGGCGACACGATTCGATAAAAAATTCATTCACTAAAGCAGGAACGGAATAGACCGGCGTCTGCGGTCTGGCTGGCAGGCTCTTCGTTGTCACACACAGGAGATCCGAGTTCGATTTCCGAGTGGGGAGAACATTTTCATCGAATCCCTCGATTTTTCTGTTGGGACATTGTACCTTTGTATCCCCTTCAGCCCCGGTTGGTCCGGATAGGCAGAGACGGAAGCCTGCCTCCTAGACGATCTAAACTGTCATTTGGGGTGTAAAAATACCTGGGTTATTAAAGATAAATTTTTATCTTTCCCGTAACACGGCGCAGTGACAAGCCATCACAAGACAGATGTCGGTCGTTACCCAGTTGTTAGACGCTTCTTCTAGTTCTTGGGCCATTCCACGGTAACATATGCGGGACAAATGAGGTATCAAATTATTCTGTCTCGTCAGTTATCGAAATGAAACACGTCACAGAATTTGCATAAAGTACTTTTTTTTCCAAATGATACATTTTATATGTTTCTTAATACGTCTTTCAAATGTTCTGATTAGTTAAATATGAAATAAATGCATTGATATTGACCTACGGTGTTATCATTGTAAGAAAGTATAGCCCAAATGCCCCGTCAGTTACTGTGGAATAGCCCTCTTTTTAATTTTTCTAAAGCCCGCATTATTTCTCATGCTCCATTGAGTGCCCTTACGTGTACATTTGCACTCGGTCAGTTTCTTTATACTACCAAAAAGAAAACCCCAATCAAACAAAAAAACAATAAAATAAACAAATAAAATCACTATAACAACATAAGGTATAGCTCACCCCTGCTCCATTCCGGAATCTGGAGAGATCATTTATGGCTTGTTGTGGTGAAGAGAAAAGTGGGATCGGGTTGGTTACGCTAGTTGAGCCATACCCAAGGGCGCCAATTCTGAAGTACAAAAAGAACAAAAAGAAAAAAAAATTAGCTCTGTCGGCTTGGAAAGAGTGTGTCGGATGCCACTACAGATTAGCATAATATGGTGTTGAATTATGATAGCAATAATAATATCAACTGCCCTGATATAGCTTTCAGCAGTTTTGTCATTGGAGGCTCTGTTTTTCCCCCACAAGAGGATCCACAAGGCTACTTTGGTATCACCGGACGGAGTGACGGAGAACCAGATCGATCATTTTTAATCTCTCGTAGATTCAGGAGTTCACCGGAAGATGTCACAGTACAGAGAGGGGCAGACGTTGGATCGGATCTTCGTCTGCTGTTAGCAAAACTCAAGTTTCGTCTTAAAAAGCACTGAACCAGAACAGGAACCAAAAGAACGAAGTTCCAAGCACGTCTCTTAGATGGACTCAAGAAAGAGGAGTTTCAGCTGCAGTTGAAGAACAGATTTCAACCCTTGGCAGGGATGTTTACTATCACCTTTCCTCTTTATCATGGCAATCGACTGGCTGATGAAGGAAACCACCAGACAGAGGACACAGAAACGGCATACAGTGGACACCATGGACACAGTTGGACGATCTTGACTTTGCAGATGACTTGGCGCTTCTTTCACACATTCAGGAACAGATGCAGGCAAAGACCACAATTTTAAAGAGCCTATGATCGACTGTTTGATTGAGGATACACCCCGGCAAGTCAATATTCCTAAAGATAGATGCACTACGAAAGGAGCAGGTCACTGTAGAGGAAAATGCGCTAGAAGACGTCGAGTCCTTCTGCTATGTTGGGAGTATAATTGACAGGGAGGGAGGAACAGGCGCTGAAATAAAGTCCCGCATTAGAAAGGCCCAGACTGCATCTATTTCTTTGAACAAGATTCCGAGGACCACGGATATCTCACTACGAACAAAGCTGAGGATTTTCAACTCAAATCTGAAGTCAGTCTTGTTGTATAGTAGTGAGACAGTGAACGCTTCTCAGAAGTGCATAAAGAGGATCCAGGTTTTCCAGAACAAATGCCTGAGGAAGCTACCTAACCTAGGATCAGATGGATGGACAGAGTCAACAACGAGGAAGTATTAAGAAGAACGAGACAGAGCCCAGTCAAAGATGAGGTTGGGAAAAAGGCGTTGGCATTGGATTGGACACACTTTATAGAAGTCAAGCAGCTGCATAACAAGGAAAGTGTTAGATTGGAACCCGCAGGGTCAAAGATCAAAGGGAAGACCACGCGGAACCTGGAGAAGAGTCACGGAAATGGATGTACAGAAAAGTGGGAAGACATGGCGACTAGCCCAGGATAGGGAAAGGTGAAAAGTGGTCGTTCGTGGCCTGTAACCTGATCCCGGGCGAGAAAGGCAATGATGGTGGTGATATGGCCTACATCCACGCTCTGCGGGTATGTTATGCGCTGTAGAACTATCATTACCCCAGCAAACCCAAGCAGACACTTAATAAACAATCTCAGTTTCTCGGAAGCATTCAGTCCAAGTTTCCATTTACAGGCTCTAAAACGCTAGCATGCAGCACTGATGTTTTGCTGTTCTCGGTCCCGTACCGAGGCCGGTACCCATTCACACCTGGGTTGGATTACTCTTGAAGAATGTGTACATTTTCCCAATCACATACACACACCGTCCCCCATCATATGAACTATAGCTTTTTCATCTTCTTCTGTTGACTTGCTAAAAATGTTTTATTTGTAGCTCATTTTTTATTAATTTGCCAGTGCGCACGTAACTTTGCAGGGCACTCCTATAGGCCAGCGACCAAACAATTTTTTTTTTTTAAATTCATGATCCGGAAATATTTTTTCAAAATATTTTTTACTCCTGAAAAAAAGAGGAGGGAAAACCCCGACAAGAATAGGTACATTGCAAGCGTTTCAAATCAATGCACTTGTATTACCCTAGATCGCGTACGCTGACGTATTTCAGGCTCAAAATGGGGTACATCATTGGACCAAATGAAGGGCAAAGGAGGGAAGGTTTGGAAGGGGAGGGGTGCTGCTGTGCAAACTCCTCTGTTACGAGGATGGTGGTACTAGCGCGCACTTACCGGACGTCTCCGGTTCTGGCGCCTTGTATACGTGGATTCTGAAGGAAAGTATTAACGGCATTTGAGATCAAGTTGAACGGGCTGGTAGGAGGATTCGAAGAGGCAAGACGGGCGTTTTCCGATTGATCAAAAAGGAAAACGACATCTGTTGGACCGCAAACTGTGGAAACACATGTGAGAGAGGGAAATAAGTAGGGGGTTAGAGAATTGGAAAGGGGGTGGGGGGGGTTAGTGGAATGGGGTGAATAGTGGAGGGGGTTATGAAGATGGAGAGGGTGAGGGTGGAAGAGGGCTGAGAGTAGTGCAAGGGAAGAGGATGTTCGAGTGGGTGAGAGGTATGGAGGGAATGAGGGTGGTGGAGGGGATCATGGTGGGATTAGGTGGTTGTAGAGAGGGTGAGGGTTAAAGTAGTGGAGATGGTGACAGTATTGGAAGAGGTGACAGTAGTACAGTAGTGAGGGGGTGGGGTGGAGGGGGGGTGTTCGAGATCTTAGAAGGCAGGAGATCAACAATATTTTTTTGCTGATAGGTTCGAATCATGACAATCATTCCATTGTTCAAAATCTGTTAATTTAAATGTGCTTATTCAGAAATGATTTGCAATTACGCAAACATTTACGCCTATTTATTTTTCTTTGTGGCCCTTCATGTTTTGGGAGGGGGTTTTTTTGCCGTAGAACCTTTATGTTTTAATACCTTCATTTTGAGATTTTCCATGGCAGCAATGTAACTGTTGACGATGGGAACTGAATAAGTGGAAGGTATGAGCGGCCTAAAGTTCATAACGTAGTAGTAGTAGTAGTAGTAGTAGTAGTAGTAGTAGTAGTAGTAGTAGTAGTTGTTGTAGTAGTAGTAGTAGTATTCCTATCTAGAGCTACCAGCGATATATTTATACATCGCAGGGGAGATAAGCATCGCCGTTCTGTGCGCTACGAGTTTTACCTCCCTTTCAATGTGGTTCCCTTCGTTTTCTTTTAGTTTAGTTTTAGTAGCGGGGTTTACAGCGCTCGCAACTGCATAAGGTCATATGAGCGCCAGAAGACTAGAAGCGTTTCAATAGAGTAACAAACATTAAAAAGAAGAAGTGGAGATAAGGACGATAGATTTTTGAAAGGAAAGAAGAAGCAAACCACACCAGATCATCCACCAACCATCCACTTCGTTTTCTTTGCGTTAGGATCAGAGAGTTTAAGATTGAGCTTTGTACATTACTGTTTTCGACACTTGGCAATCTTCCTGGAGTAATGTAAGCGGTTGGACGAATGAGAGACATACACATTCACACGCAGAGAGAGAGAGAGGGGGGGAGAGGGAGAGAGAGAGAGAGAGAGAGAGAGAGAGAGAGAGAGAGAGAGAGAGAGAGCATCACTATTGCCTGTAAAATAGTATGATATTTTTACTAAATACCACTTCAAGAATGCAAACTTGTCATATTGCTACTTTTGCTCACCACATCTACAGTCATGACTACAGTTAGTACATTGTGTTATTTAGATGTCTTTTTATGCTATGTGTATTTGTTGGCTTGGTCACTTGTATTTTAAGCCACCTATTAGTCGTATCTTCAAACTTGTGCCTTTACTTAAGGGTTCATGTTTCATCGAATGGTCTCTTTAGGAAGTCCAGAGTGCAAAGGTATGTTATTCTTGATTGAATTTATATTTCTTTTTAAACCTGCAAGCTCTAAGGCACAAGCCAAATTAAATATTTGTTAGACTGAAGATACAACACAGGTCTCCGACATTCCAATGAATAAAACTGGGTGAGTAATTCCGTTTAGGCACTTCGTTACTCCCCTTTATTCATGTTTACTAAAATGTAAATAGTCATTTATTAAGAAAGACTGGCTGTAACTTAAACTTTGTTCACTAGGGATCGTGGGTGCGCTTGCTGTCACTGGTAGAGAGAATTGAATAATTGTAAATGAACAGCAACTGAAGAACACTGACCACTATCCACTATGAATTAATCGAAATTCAAAGATCTTCTGAGGGCAACGTAAAAAAAGCTAACACTTTGATTTGTTTGGCTAAGAACCAGAATAATACGTCGCTTGTACAGAAAACACTATAAATCTTCACCCAACCAAACACAATAGATTCCAAAAGAAAAAAGGTCCAATCCAGGAAGAAAGAGAAAAGTGAAGACTTTCTCAACATTACATCTTATTTAGTTAACTTGCCTCAATAACTGATGGTCAATCAGAAGAAACGCTCATGGCTGCAATAACGTGAAATATAAGGATTGATATTTGTACATTACCTCATAATAAAACATCACTAGATTATATCACAGGACAGCATGATAATAATATCTGGACAACCAACGTCGTGTTTTTAGCTCTGATAATGAGGCAGGTACTGAGTATTTTAAGATACGCTTGCTTTCAGCAGTTAGGGGAACACATTAAAAGATGAAAAGAAGTGTTTATTTTGAGAACCAACTTCCCACCAGGCAGTAACTTAATTATCGATATTATTTATGTATTATTATTTTGTTGTTGTTACTGTTGTTGTTAATGATGTTGAAAACAACTCCTCTATTAGACCCAAGAGTGAAATAACGATAAAAATGATGTTAGATTTCTCAGATTGCCGCATAGCTTAACTGCAAGGGTTGTGGAAAGTAACTGTATATGTTTAATCTCGAAGTGTTATCAAGGACAACTCTTTACGCATTTCTGGATAGATAGATAGATAGATAGATAGATAGATAGATAGATAGATAGATAGATAGATAGATAGATAGATAGATAGATAGATAGATAGATAGATAGATT